ATAATTCGTTAACACTCCTGCTCCAAGTTCCTTAGAAATTCCTGGGGTATGGCTTCCCATTCTTTCTGAATAGCATTTACCAATTCATCCAAATTGTCCATGCGTCCTTCCCTCTCTTTCATATTCAGTTTCATCCTGCTCCACACATGCCCAATGGGATTCATATCCAGATACAAAGGTGGCCAACTCGTTCTCTCAATATCGAGGTCCCTTAAATACTCATTTACGATATTGGCGTGGTGCCGACGGGCATTGTCGTCCACCAACACCAAATTATTGGCAACATTTTGAGCTTAAGGGACCACGATATTACCAACACACAGATCTCTATATCTCTCAGCATTCATAACCAATTCACTCTTTCCATTCATTGCCATTCCACGCCAAACAGTCACTCCTTCACCTCCAAAAGCCACCCTTGCCTCCTTGTTTCGTGCAATCTTCTGCAAACCGTAGCTGCAGCAAATTCTGGCATTGGCATTTCAATCTCTTAAAGGAAGAATGCATTCTTCCATGAAAGTAACCTAGGTAAGATGGGTGTAGGTAGGCAAAAAAAACTTGTATATTTGGAAAAACACAAGCAAACTGAAAAAACCAAGAATATCCCTCATAATGCGTTTTGAATGTTTTTCAAGAACTAATTTTCATTTGATCCTAGATTTGATCATTCAGCGACATAATAATAACGTATTAAGATGAAAAACACAGTAAAAAAACAGTGAAAACCAGCAATCGGATTTTATTGAAAAATTTAACAGCCGGGGAATTGTTTTCGAATTTTAATTCTTAATGATTTTGGTTTTATCTGAAACTTAAATTTGACAACTGAATTACAATCAGGTCAAAATTATGAAGAAAATATGTCACGAACGTAAATATCGGTTCAGGTTTAGTTTTCGCAAATTTTCTCCATGTCGTTTTGAAAAAGTGGTATTTGCTTAGGTTACTCCGAAAATAATTGAAGTTTGTTGCTTGTCGCTTGTTAAGAATTATTCACCATCTTATCTTCTTGTTCTTAAAAAGGCTTAGTGTATTGCCTACAAAAAAGCATTAAATGTACTCTTTTGAAAAAAAAATCATATTTTCGTTGCTAAGATTCCCATTCGAAAAATTTAAAAATCTTTTCAAGGTAACACATATTACTTCATTATTTCAAAGTAAAAACGAGAAAAAATTTTTTTTACAAACGGGGCTTGGAGGAAGTTATTGAAATTTTTCACCGTTTAACATATCACCCTGTAGGAAATTTACTTGATGAACCGTGAGCTTCATATCTATAGCATGAATTGCCAGAGGATGAGGCTAGCAGACATCACAGACCAAAATTAAATCGAAGCCGAAGCAATAGTTACTTAAGTTTTTGTACCATATCTTTTGTTGTCCCTGCAAAAACAATTAGAAGCTGTACATTTTATTACCGTTTTTTCCGATGCATCTAATCATAAAGATCTTAAGTTATTTCCAACTTTAGTAAGATTTTTTTATAAAAAAAAGTAGGTGTAAACGTAAAAATATTAGATTTAACATCACTTCTGGGAGAAACAAGCGATATAATTTATAATCATTTACGAGACATTTTAAAAAATAATAATTTAGAAACGCTAATACTAATTTCGGTGGGGTACAAAGAAGAGGAACCAATCATTTTTATTAAACTTAATCAAAATTTAGAGCAGTCTATTAGGTGTGGGTTGTGCAGTAGGGTAGAGCGAAATATCAATATTTTTAAAATTGAAAACGCCTGTATATAGAAAAGTTGTGTATGATGAAAATAAATATTTTGGTGAAAAAAAAATTATTTTTTTAATTACTCGAGGGCAGAAAACGGTTAAAAAATCTTTTTTTCCAAAATTGGGCACATTGATTTTCAAAAAAAAAAGCTAAATGGGGGTCAATGGCGGTCAATTTTAAAAATACAAATATTTTCATATTTGACACTGACTGGGGGTCCGCCCATTTCGCTTGTTTTTTTTTGAAAATCGAAGTGTCCTATTTTGCAAAAGTTACTGATATTCAAAATAAACATTTTGGTGATAAAAAGTATATATTTTTTTAAATTTCTTCCACTGCTGCAGAGCCATGGCAAACACAAAAATTTTAATATTTGAGCTGGGGCAAAAAACGGTAGTGATACAAATTAATTTTTTTTTAAGCCAAGTTGTTTATTTTGAGCATAAGTAACTTTTCCAGAGTTGTTCACTTTAATTTTCAAAAAAAAAACAATTGAAATCGGCGAACCCCGATTCAATGTCAAATATGAAAATATTGGTATTTAGCTTTTTTTTGAAAATTAATGTGCCCAATTTTGGAAAAGTTTGTTATGAGCACTCTAAAAAAATCTTGGCCCAAAAAAAATAATGTTTTAACCGCTTTTTGCCCTCTTCTGAATTTTATGATTTTTATATTTAGGATAGCTCTGGGGCAGCGGAAGGAATTAAAAAAATATATATTTTTTTTTTCACCAAAATATTTATTTATATAACTTCTATTATGGTAGACTTGAAAAGGTGATATTTTACGAACAGTCACTTACTACCAAAAGACATATTCACACATAATTACAATTGTTCGAGTGAACACAGTGTCGTAGACACAGGGGTTGCTTAAGCTTATTGTCCCATACAAACTTTGAGTTTAGGTTTTAATACCATTTGATGCAATTTTTCGATAACTCAGTTAAATTGCATCAAATTTTATAAAAACATAACCTCAAAGTTTGTATGGGACTAGTGTTGGGAATAACCGATTTATTTCAATAACCGATTACCGAGTATTCAAGTGATTTCAAAAACCGGATTATCACTTGAATGACAATCACTTGAATGCTCATCGTGGGGTGGGCGTTGCTTCTTTACATTCCGTACCGGAATGTAAAGAAGAAATTTTCGGTTTACTCGATTCCTTAAAAAAGGCTTGTAATGTTCAAGCAGTATAACCATTTTTCTAGAAATCTACTTTTTTGGTAGTTTTTCAACATAATTTTAGTAGGCAAAAAATTATTCTTAAATTTTTAATACAAGTGTTTACATTTTTAGTTTTTCCACGTAGTAATTTAAATTTAATGCTAATTTTTGTTAACAAATTTCTATAAATTCAAATTTTAAACAGACTTCAACTGTCAAATGAGCAGATTCCTAAAAATATAACCTGTATATTACAGATAACTTTATTTACCACGGAGTTTCAGACTTTTGCCAACCAGGTTATTTTAAAAATATACACTGCGCAAATAACCGGTTATTCATCACTTGGATCCAAAACTCATAACCGAATAATTTAGGTTATTTCAATAACCGGGTAATAGGTTATTTTTCACTCGAGTGATCCCAACACTATATGGGACAATAAGCTTAAAAAAATAGCAAAACCAGATGGTTAGCCTTACTTCCTGAAGTAGAAAGAATTTTAAAGATGTTTATTCCTTTAAAATCCTACTTCATAAAAACATTTTTGAATCCTCTGAAATTTGGCTCTTATTTATTCACAATACTGCCTCATTTTTTCAAGGTGCTATTATCAAGGTCAAATGGGATACAAATAATATTGTACAGGTTTATGATGTTCTTAAAAATTTAAAAAACAAACTTAAGCCCTTGCTGGAAAATGTTTTTATTCCTAAAATTATTCGAAACGTTTACTCTTTTACTCTAATTGTTTATATTATTTAAGCCAGTACAGTACCCAATATGAGTCAGTAATACTGACTCAGTATCGGATTTTGCTTGGATTTCTTTAAAAAAAGCTACTATGTACATGGGAACAAGTACAAAAAAGTTTTGAGTTTCTTTTAAAAAAAAATCCCTAATTAGGGATTTAAATGCACCATAGTTGAAATTGATGAGACTCAATATGTTGATAATTATATTTCTGAGAGTAAACTTATTTTTGGACTGAGCAAAAAACTCCCACAGATCAAAAATAGGTAGAAATTTTTAGTCATTTCAATAAAAATAATATTCCTTTCAATAATTTTTTAAAATTAGTACAATTATGCTTGCCCGGTACAAACGCTTCTACCGAACGGTTTTTTTCTATGATTAATAAAATGTGGACCACCAAAAATACTAATTTGTCTATAGAAACTTTATAAGCTTTAGTGACTATTAAATATAATTTTAAATGAGACTGTATGAGTTTCTACAATACTGTTATAAAATAAGCCCCTATTAAAAAAATCATCAAAATGAAAAATATAAATAAACATATTTTGTATGTAATAGGTAGTAAAAATTTAAAATCAGAATACTGATTGTCGTTTTTACTTGTAGTTTAAACTTTGTTTTTTTTGTATTTCATTACATATTTTGTATAACTACTTTTAGTATTTTTTATTTATCACTACCCTAATTCTAAATTGAAAATGAAAACAAGATTATTGACAATTTTTTAACTTTGTCCTGCTTTTGGACTTTTAGGATCTGGTCACTTTATCTTATACACATATACAAATTAACTCCTCATAATGTGGCTCTTATTTTTTATTTAATACCTATTTGGCTTGAATGAATTTGAGTTTGTACCTATTTATTTCCAAATTTATAATTATTTTATAAATTTGTAATTCAAATTTACACAAGTATCAGAAACAATTTTTTTTAAAAATATGTGCAAAGCATTTGCATTAAAATTTGTATCATGCAAGTAAAAATGCTTTGCAAACATTTTGTATGAATTTCGATTAAAATTTGTGTCAGCTGTGTTTCAGTGTACACCTAATTATCTTTTAATATACTAATGTAATAAGCAAATATCCACCTAAGCAAAATCTAAAAGCCCCAAAGTCACTTACTTAATGTTTAAAATTTCAAGTCAACATGTTGACCTAGTCAACCTCATTTTTTTAGTCAAATGGTAACTTTTAAGGGGATGCATACAAATTTGTTGAACAATGACAAAAACTACTAATCTTGTTCTGTCATTAGATAATATTATTATTATTAGATATGGATTTTCATATTGTTAATTTCAAATAAATTTTCCAACGTTATGTTGTCCTTTATTTACTTACATTCTTTTGATCTAATAACATTCTTTCCATCCAGAGGTTTAATAGATGTCTCACTATTAAATGGTACAGTTTTAACAGATTCTTCTGTACTTGACACTAGTTTAATGGGCAATGGGTTTTTCCTTTCTTCTGGAAAACTATCATTTACATGTTTGCAATGTTTATGGTTAATTGTTGGCTTGGAAATTTGAACAGTTATTTTTTTATCTCTTGGTTGAACTTGTCTTGCTTTGGAAGCAAATGTCGGTTGGTCATATTGAGCATTACAACTGCTTAGTTTATAAAATGCATTGGAATTATCTGTGCCATTGCTAAAATTCTCCTGATACGTTGTGTGGTCTTGATTTGTACTTTTTTGTATCTTTTCATATTTTATGATTTTTTTTAAATCTAAAAAAGAAAACAATTAATATAGGTTATTCACAAGTTTAATTAAGCAAAATACCAAACCTTTTAAAAAATCTTTTAGCTGAATGGCGTTGATATTTTGGTACCCTAATTCATTTAAATACATTAGAACTTCTTTCGCATCAATTTTATCACACATTTTAAACATACAAAAGAGGCTCTTTTGAGCGCAGATTATCATAAAAAAAGGATATAGCAGATTATAAAGAGTGCCACATTAGAAGTGCCACATTAGAAGTGTGGAACATGTTTACCACAGAACATGATGTTTACCTTTTTCTATGATACCTTTTTCTATGATATTTACGGTCACCGTCAGTGTTGCCAGTAGTAGAAAAATTAAAGTACTGAAATGGCAATAAAAACGTATTGAATTTGAAAGATAACGTACTGAATTTAGGTTTTTCTCCTTTTTTCTTGAGGTGGTTTCCATTTACAACAATTATTTGGCTTCAATAATTGCTTTGCATGTAAACGTTTTCGACATTTTTTATCTTATTCGCATGAGCAAACAGGACGGTTCTTGGCGAACTTGAAACAAACCTTTTGTCAACACTGTGCAGAGAACGCGCGCTGCCAACTGTTTAAAACTAAAATTACCAGGATACTAAAACAACTTATGCCAAAGATAATACACCCCATAGATTGGAAACTACACTAGCGCTAGCGGCAAAAGGCAAAAGTAAATTAACGCCATCTAGGTCTACAATACCCTTAGCAATGCCAAATATTGAAGCAGATTTCTGTAACATATTGGCGCCATATTTGAATATTGATGCTTCATAGGGTGCCTTTATATATTGTATTTACTGCTGTATTTTAAATAAAACAAGTATGGATATAAGATTTATTTATTGTATTAACAATATAATATAAAATAAAATACATACATCTATATAATATATTATACATAATCTGTATACATGAATATGTTTTTGTTTGTGGAGTGCAAACCTAAAAAATATTAATCTTAATTCTTCAATAATAAGAGAATATTGCAAAATTTGGTAATTTAGCTCCTTATACGAGTTTAAACTTAACATATAGGAATTTGTACAAGGCTTTTGAGTGTGGACTTTTGGTTCTAACCAACCGTGAAAAATCTATCTTGCAAACTATTGGTTTTGAAACAACCATAAGAGCCTGGGCTTGGCCTGGACTAAATTACCATTAAAAAAGCAATCCTAAATAATTCATAATTAACAAAAAGTATTTTTACGCTAGAGCGATACTGCCGTGCTAAGCCAAAAAGACGCAACTCCACATTTTTACTTTATAAATTATAGCGCTTTATTGTTTTTTTTTTCAAGATACGATCAATTTAATAAGAAATTTTTAGGAGCTATACCTAGTACTTAAAAATGTATGTATAGTTAAAATTTGTCTTTTTTTCTAATAGAATAATTTAATAATAACGAGATGAGTCTTTTTGGCTTAGGACGGCAGGATAGTCAATACTTACAAATTGGTTACATTTTCGCGCCCAACAAAAATACATTTCACAACCATTAACACGTTTTATCACTTTTAAGGCGCAAAAATGTATTTAATAATTCAAAAATTATGATCGACATCAATAATTATGATTGACATTGACATTTGCAAATAGCGTTTGTATAGATGTCTGCAATTTAAAAATAGATATAGTTCAGGTATTGTAGAACTAGATGGCAGTGGTGGGAGAGTTTCCCACATACTTCCACACATATATATACCGCTTATTGCCTATATTTTGTATAGATGACCTTGTTCCCGTTTCTAAGGGGAAATTTGTTCTCGTAGTGTGCCATTTTCCTTTATGCGCATAGTCAGTTCATAAGTGGGGGATTTAAAATATATGATACCATAGACATCACATAACATTAGATAGAGAAATTAATACGTCCATTTATGATACGAATTGTCAACTAAACAAAATTTAGGTTATATAAAATTTTTCTAAATTATTTGATTCCATAGCCTGGGTTAAGCTTACAAACATTTTTGTGATTTGGCTTTATAAAAAGCAAAAAGTGGCATAATATGCATATTATGTAAAATCCACTTAAATCTCGTTAAAACAATGGAAAAAACAATGCCAAAACAATTGGTATACAACAGAAAACAAACAAAATTGATAATTATAATAACCATCTACATATTTATATGTCTACCATAAAAATCTTTTGGCTATAATCGTGATCAAAATACGATGTTGCCAAATTTTTGCTTTTATAAAATTGCCATTATAAAATCTAAAATATCATCATTTTGTGAGTTTATTATTGTTAAATGCTTTTTTCATACAATTTACATCCAATTTATTAAAAAGTATTTATTATACTTCTTAAATAGGGACAAAAATATGTTATTTTTTTTTAAACCGGCAATGCAGCTGACGCATGCGCCTCAATGCCCGCTACCCTGTGAGAACATTTCTCCTACTTTGTATATATGTGGAAGTATGTGGAGTTTCCCACATACTTCCACACATATACAAATCATTTCTAACTGAGACTGTTTCCATTTCGTGGGGGTAAAGTATGAGAAATGTTCTCACAGGGTAGCGGGTATTGAGGCGCATGCGTCAGCTGCATTGCCGGTTTAAAAAAAAATAACATATTTTTCTCCCTATTTAAAAAGTATAATAAATACTTTTTAATAAATTGGATGTAAATTGTATGAAAAAAGCATTTAACAATATCTAATAAACTCACAAAATGATGATATTTTAGATTTTATAATGGCAATTTTATAAAAGCAAAAATTTGGCAACATCGTATTTTGATCACGATTATAGCCAAAAGATTTTTATGGTAGACATATAAATATGTAGATGGTTATTATAATTATCAATTTTGTTTGTTTTCTGTTGTATACCAATTGTTTTGGCATTGTTTTTTTCCATTGTTTTAACGAGATTTTAGTGGATTTTACATAATATGCATATTATGCCACTTTTTGCTTTTTATAAAGCCAAATCACAAAAATGTTTGTAAGCTTAACCAAGGCTATGAAATCAAATAATTTAGAAAAATTTTATATAACCTAAATTTTGTTTAGTTGACAATTCGTATCATAAATGGACGTATTAATTTCTCTATCTAATGTTATGTGATGTCTATGGTTTCATATATTTTAAATCCCCCACTTATGAACTGACTATGCGCATAAAGGAAAATGGCACACTACGAGAACAAATTTCCCCTTAGAAACGGGAACAAGGTCATCTATACAAAATATAGGCAATAAGCGGTATATGTGTGGAAGTATGTGGAAATCCATTGTAATCACTATTTCTGTGATTGTAATCGATTAAAATTGATTAATTATTAGTATATAAGGATCTTAAATTTACATATTTTTTAGGTTTTTATTTAATTTAAAAATAAGAGGGGATTTGAAGTCTGATGGCATCGCATTTAAAGAGGCCTCGCAAGGCCCCTTTAAGCCGAGTTATATAGATATATAGATGCGAATTTGCGAATTTACGAATTTGCGAATTTACGAATTTGCGAAATACGAATATTCGCATTTCGCAGCTCCTATTCATATAGATGCGAATTGTCGGAACCATTTTAGGGACATTGTTTTCTCACTAGGCGATATTTGCCATGGTATTTTAGGGACATTATTTTCTCTCCAGGTGATATTTGCCATACTTGGTTAACATTTTTTATAGGTAGGTACATGGAGCCTACACAAGGAGCCCGAACTTAATAGGGAAAATTGACAAAACCTGTCCACTAAATTGCACAATTTAACTTAAATTATTTAAGTCTTTTTTAACTTAAATTATTTAAGTCTTTTTTTTTCACCACCAGCGGCGCTGTTTGTCAATGCGTCCGTATGACGTGAAAATAGTATCAAAAATACATGTGAAGTAAGCAAGTAATTTTGACAATTGATTTGCAATAATGTTTTGACGTACGAATCGTTTTGTTATTTATGGCTGTACCTGGTAGGTAGATTCCAATAAATAGGTTTTGGTTGTGAAATATAAGTGATTCTTTATAATCTGTGAAGTGATTTTACGACTCTGGAGAAGCAAAATAAATAGGTTTTGGTTGTGAAATATAAGTGATTCTTTATAATCTGTGAAGTGATTTTACGACTCTGGAGAGGCAAAATTAGATTTCCAGGTTAGAAATACACCGCTATTTAATAATTTAAATTTAATTTAAATAAAAAAGTATGTATAAAATGAGTAAACAGCATATTTAATAATGTCCACCTTTATTTGTTTATATTGAACTTTTATTTAAGCCATCTACCTATAAAACTAAAAATAAATACCATATGGATTTAATATTCTGTTAGTTTTACACGATTTAGCATCACACGACATTCTTTTATAGAAAAAAACACGTATTTATAAAAAAACTGTACTATGCTCTACATCAAAAAGTCCAACATGAATTCCAATGTTAAATTTGATATAAATTTATTGTAAAACCAGGTACATGGGTACATTGTTTTTTGTTCTAAGGTTTTCAGAAAGCGATAAACTGACAGTTGCATAACCTCAATTATTTGCACATCAATAAGTGGTAGGTAGTGGCGCCATCTCTGGTTATACCCGTCTACTGTTTTGGACCGGTAGTACACCAGCGCCCTCTTATCTTAGGAAGATTCTTGTTTACATGAAGTTCGGGCTCCTTGTGTAGGCTCCATGGGTAGGTACTTAAATAGTAAAGTTACTTCTAAAAAAATATGCTACTATAAGGTAAAATAAGAAACTAATGTACCTCCAAAAACTCTTTGTCCATTATAAAGAACAAAAAACAACTTTAGCAAGAAACATTTCAAATAAAACTCAACAACGATGCAATACAAATGAAATAAACACAGAACATAAACAAAAATGGCGCGGATACATATAACAAATACGTATAATAGGCATCTGCATTAATGCGCATGCGCATCACGCCAAATTCGTGCGATTTTCGCAAAATATTGGATCAATCTCAAGATTCCCGCCCCCCAGATTTCAAATAATGCGAATTCGCAGAATCTGTCGAAACGTCGAAACCAGGCTTTAAGTGGGAGGCCGTGGGCGAGGGCCCACTTCGCCTACGCCTAGCTACGCCACTGCTTTAGTTTATTAAATAATTTGTGTCTCTAAATAGGATATTTAGATATTGTTTATGATCAATGTCTTTCATTTTTAGAAACGTTGCTTTGTAAAACCCCCTAGTTTCCCGGTCTTGGTAAAGTGGGCGAATCTTCCAACGTCTTGTTTGATGTTTTTTTTCCATTGTTTGATGTTTTTTTTCCATTATATATGT